GACCAAGCAGGGGTGACGGAAGCAGCTGAGAAGACCAAGGAGGGTGTCATGTATGTGGGTGAGTTTGGGCGGAGCAGCTCGGGGGCTGGAGCCTGGGATGCCCGGTTACTGAGAGGATGAGGACCTGGCTGTAACATCAGGTCTCCGGGCCCTGAAGCACCCCTCTCCTGCCACCCCAGGGTCCATTTGGTCTTCCTCGGGGCCCCAGGAGCCTCTGGGTCAGGACAGCAAGAGGGATGCGCAGCTCTGAGACACACCTGTTTGTGCGCACGTGCACGGGCACAAGCCCCTGCTCCCCATCGCACGGGCCCTTGGGCTCGGGAAGAAGCCACACGGAGCCCCCGAGACCCTGCCACAGGCCTCCACCTCCTCAGGGGAAGGGGTGGGACTGAGGAGCCAAGACCCAGCCCCCCCTCCTCGCTCCCTCCGCGGAAGAAGAGGCAGAGCTGATGACTCAGCTCCAGTCAGCAGCCGGTCCTGCTGCAGCTTCCCAGGCCCAGGCCACACCCAGGCAGGGCCCAGACCCCCCTCAGGCCTGGTCTCTCTTATCCGCCATCCTGTCCTGTCCACTCCCATCTGACCCCCTCCCCCAGACACAGCAGGAAGCAGCCTTTAAAGGGACTCTGGTCTCCAGACACCGTCCTCACCCACTACTGACCCCACAGCTTGTCCGGCTGTTCTGTTGCCCTGACAGCTGCACCCCCAACACTAGGAGGAGTGGGTCTGGGCTGATGCCTCCATTTCCTCTCCAGGAGCCAAGACCAAGGAGGGTGTTGTGCAGAGCGTGACCTCAGGTGAGGAGCCCCAGGACTAGGGGATGGCGGGGCTGGGGCCTCCAGGGACTTCTGCACCCTGGTACTAAAGGCCCAAGCTCAGGGTCCTCCTTACTCCCAACTGGGGTCCTGAGCTGTACACAGACCCAGACCCCTCAGAACCCAGGGTTGGCCGCCCAGTCATCAGAGCCCCCCTGGCACCGGGCAGGGGCAGCCTCCGTTCTTGGGTAGAACCAGAGGCTTGAGTGCCCTGGGAAAGGGGGGCTCAGGCCTGCCTGGGGCAGGCTGGCCCTGGTGGGAGGGGTCAGGGCCACCGCCAGCCAGAGTCCTCCCACAGTGGCTGAGAAGACCAAGGAGCAGGCCAATGCTGTGAGTGAAGCGGTGGTCAGCAGCGTCAACACCGTGGCCACCAAGACCGTGGAGGAGGCGGAGAACATCGCGGTCACCTCGGGAGTGGTGCGCAAGGTGAGGCCTGGCCCCGCTCTGGTCCTCTCCTCTGGGCCCCAGAGAGGCCAGCTGGGGAGAGACATGATCACCCATGACATTCAGGGAACCAGAGGCCTAGGGCAAGGGTGTCTGCACAGACTCATGGGAATCCTCACACCACCCCTGTGAGGGGGCAGTGGAGGCCCAAAGGGAAATCGAGTCTCAAAGCCACGCCCTCTGAGTGGTGCCGGCCTTCAGGGTGAACCACGTTTGACCAGTGACCGCAGGGCCTGTGGCCCCGGGTGGTGATAGGCAGCCAGTGGCCAGGCTCTCCTGGCCCCTGCCGGCAGCCCCTCCCCTCTCCTCCTCCAGGAGCTGGGAAGCAGCACCCCCTGGTGGTGGAGACTGAGCTTGGACCCGCCCTCCTCCTCTGCCTTTGTGTGCTGTTGAGTGTGCCCTGGAGAGTGTGTGTGAATGTGTGCACGTGTGAATGTGTGCGCGTGTGCACGTGTGTGTCTGTGTGCTGCCCCGGCAGAGCGCACCGGAACAACGGGCACTCCCCGAGGCGGGGCTGGTGGGTGAACATCCCACCCACCCAGGCAGGCTCTGCTCCAAGCATCTGACACGCATTCACTCCTTTAGCCGGCACAAAGCGCCATGCAGGTGTGCAGATGAGGCCGAGAGGCTGTGCCGTGCCCACGCCCCAAGGCTAGTCTGGGTGAGCCTGCAGGCCCAGGGCCGCCGGCTCCAAGCCCGTGCTCTGGCAGACAGCGGCGGAGAGTGGCAGGAGCAGGATCCGCTGGGGGCAGGAGGTGCTCCCTGCAGAGCGTGTCTCAGCCGGGGCCGAAGCCATCCTCTGCAAAGCTCCCTCACGGGGCAGGCTGCAGGGCCGCTCCCAGCCCTGCTCCCGGAGGGCTGCGCAGGGGCTCGGGCCTTGCAGAGACAGCCCCTCTCCAGGTCCCAGCTCTGCCCCGTCCTAGCTCCACGACTTGGGAGGCTCCTCAACCTCCCCGGACCTCCATTTCCTCATCTTTTTTTAAATCCTCACCTGAGGTTATGCTTTACTGATTTGTTTTGTTTTGTTTTGTTTTGAGAGGGAGAGAGGGGTAGGGAGAGAGAGAAGACATCAACCAGCTGCCTCCCATACATGCCCCCACTGGGCGATGGAACCTGAAACCCGGGCATGTGCTCTGACTGGGATTCGAACCCATGACCTTCCGGTGCACAGGACGACGCCCAACCAATGGAGCCACACTGGCCAGGGCATCCATTTCCTCATCTTTAAAACGGGAGGGGGTGAGAGCATGGCTCACTGGCTGTGTGACGGTGCAGGGAATGGCCCCCAGGAAGCACGAGGACAGGCCATGGTGGGCACCCAACACAGGCCGGTGACCTCTGGGCAGGACCCCACGTGCTGCAGGACACACCAGGCCTCCCCCCGCTCCCAACACAAGAGCTCTGGGTGGGCACTCCTCCCACACCTTGGAGGGCTAATGACCCTTGGAGCCACCCAGGCCCTGGTGTAGAGGAGGCCGCCTCAGGCCAGTCACGACTCACCCTCCAGTGAACTGCGGAAGGATGCAGCACAACCTGTCTGGCCACTCATGCCACCGATCATGCCCCTGCTCTGGGCAGCAAGACTAAGCAGGTGGCCACCCACCTCCACCAGGAGAGCCTGCGCCGACTCTGGCTGACATCAGTGCCGGTTTATGCCCCTTCCACGAAGGGGTAGGATGGTGGCACAGAGGTGACACCCTTTAGAGGTACAGGCCCTGTCCACCAGCTGTCACACAACCACCCCTAGGCCAGCCTCCACCTCAGGCAAGTATCCAGCTGGGTGTAGGGTAGGAGACAGGAAGTGAGAGGACAGTATAAATCCAGACCAGCCTGAGCCTGGAGCCGGCGTCCAGGAGGCAGGGAGAAGGAAAGAGGAGGCACTCGTGCTCCTGGGGACGGAGAGGGCCTGGAGCAAGCCCCACCTGATGCCTGCAGCCCCACTGCTTTGAGCTGTCAGGCCTCAAGCTGGATGCCTGGCTCCCTGGCCTCAGGGTACCCGTGTGAACTGTGTAACGACTGAGGCTATGTCCCTTCTCCTAGTGCGTTCTCGGGAGTCGGGAGAACAAGGGTGTGTGATCATGTGTGTTGCGCATGCTGAGGGTGGGGTTCGGCCTCTCTCTCTCGCTTCCTGTCGGAAATCTAGTCCAACATATTTTTCCACAAATTTGAGTTATTAGCTGGCATAAATCTTCCTGTGGTAGTCCGCCTAAATCCGCTTGTCGAGTGTTGCAGTGTGTATAACATGGATATATTTTTTGCCATCTAGGGAAGTAATGTTATAGTAGGAGCTGCAAACCGCATGCAGTATTTGTATCTGGAGAGGACATATGTACATGCCGACGTTTTGGTAGGAACGCCAGCCTTTCATAACACCTG